AGGATGAAGAAAGTCTAGAAGTAAAATCAGAAATGAGATTATTAAAGATTATTTTCCAACTTTAATAACTGGTTAAATATTTTATTAAAATAACAAATCTACACTTTAAATCTTAAGACTATGATTTCTATTTTTATATCACATCAATCTAAAAACATTATTACTGACTAAATTAAATGTCTTAATAAAGTAAAATCTCAAATATTGTTTTTAAATTTGAAACTACTCCCCAGTTAGTATCAAACTGTTTCATAGATCCTAAAAGAAAGTCAACAAGTATGTTTCTGAAAAAAAGAGTTAAGAATTGGTCTTACTTTCTATTTATCCTGTGAGAATGTTTCCCATACTTAACATTACAAAGATAATTCTTGGTGAAACACTTAAATGCATATCCATACGTAACAACTAATCGACCTGCTCTTCTCTAGTTCTCATAATTCTTCAAGTGTAGGGATTAGTTACACAGAGAAACAGTCAATCACTACAGAATGTTCTTGAATGAACAAACTCTCAACATGCTGGACGTCATCCTGACAGTTCCTGGAACCCGAACTGAAAGCACTCCTGATTACAGTTCCACACAAAACCATGGCCTGTCATGCACACCTCCCCTCATGGGAGACACAACACAGGAAGAGTATTTTTCTTCTTTATTGATATCAAGCCATATGTCTAATAAGTGCAGTGAAGGACTATTTCACTCAGTTAAAGTAGGAAAATGCCCTGAAGCACAGAGAATTGCTGGCTTATCATTCTAGAGCTCTGAAGAGCTTTTCCCTCCTGTTACTTAAAGATGGCTAAATGCTATGTCACAAGCTCTGACATTCTTTGATTCAAGGAACTACTCAATGAAATCCAAGAGTTATCTCTAAATACAATGAATTCCCCATCAATGAAAAAGTACAAAATTCTAAGATAAGGTTAATAGAATGTCACAAAGAAGTCATCTTCTCATTTTCAGGGTCTGGGTCCAAACTGCTAACACCAGCATCACTGATATAATAAATATTCTTATTCTTAACAAATACTTTGAATGAAAAAATTTCAGTACTAAGCTTCCTCTAATAAAAATCTATATTCCATATGAAAGCAGTAAGATAAGAGCAAAAATGTAATTAAACTACATAAACTGATTTCTACTTCTTGACAAGAACCAAATTTACCCTCCTTCCTGAAACAATTGGGCACCAGGGGAAGACAAAACATATGAAATATTTTTCAAGACACTGGACACGAGGCAACAAAAACCATGATCCCTGATAGAACACGAACCCAACAACAGCCTCATCTTACTGCCTACACGATCTCCAGTCCATGAACAGGGAGGAGGAAACCTAGGTAGTGCAGTAGTATCCCTGAGTTGAATTGAGTAGAGGGAGCTAAGCCTGGAGGCAATGCAGCTAAATACGCATGGCAGGATATCATAGAGGAGAAGACGACAGAGGATACAGCTACAGACTTCAGCTGAGTTCCTGTCAGTACATGTAAGTGTCCTTAACACTATGCAAAGGCACTGAAAGAACCAAAAAATTATTTCAGGTAACAACACAACAGTTACTGTTCCCACCAATCACAGTACTTGGGAGAGTTTTGACTCAAAAGTACAAAAAAGCACTGCCTAACAAACTTTACAGCCACTATGGTGTGCACACTTTTGATCCCAGTACTTGGGAGGCAGGGGCAGGTGGATCTTCGTGAGATCAGCCTGGCCTATATAGCAAGTTCTAGGAAAGTAAGGACTATGTAGAGAGACTCTGTTTCAAATTAATTAGCTATTTAATTAAATGCAAATTCTGAAAAGATAAAACTGTTTCTGGGTAACTTAAATACATCCCAGAACAAAGCTCAAGATCTCTGTATTTTATGGAATGGTAAAACATCCAATATCTAACAAAAAGGTAGAATTTCAAATATTTGACATCAAATAAAAATCACAAGGATACAAAAGCAGAGAAATATAATCCATATTGAGGAGAAAAATCAATCAAAACCAACTTAATGAAATTAGTAGACATGGCAGTAATACAATTATAATTATATTCTAAAGGGATAAAACTGAAAAATCTAAACATAGGAGATAAAATGGGCAAGCTTTCTACAGAGTAAACTATGTCTGAAATGAAATACATGCTGGGTAGGATTAAACATAATAGAAAAGATTCATGAATATCACAATAGACTATTCAAAATCAAAGAAACAAACAACAACAACAAAAAAAAACCACCAATGAACCTCTCAATAAGCTTTAAAACCACATCTAAGAACTTAATATACATGTAACTGGACTTCCAAAAGGAGAAAAGACAAGTTCATGTACACACGTACACACACACACACTGTATATTTAAAGAAACAATGCCTTCATTTTTTCCAAATTTGGTAAAAATGAAACCCACAGATCCAAGAAACTCAACCAACTTCAAGTATAAGGAACACAAAGAAAAATTCACCATTTCATTTACAAAGGATTCTTGCTCATAAACTCTATAACCAAATGTAATCTACAAATTTTTTAAATTAAGGTTCATCTTTAGGTTAACTATCCTTTCATGGCAGAGTTTCAACTGGCATTTTAATAGAGTTCATTAAGTCATACAGTCAACTGAGTAAACTCTATAGTACAATTTCTAACTGTTGGCAAAATATAGTTCTTAAAAATAATGTACTGTGGTGAGACATGGTAGAGCACGCCTTTAATCCCAGCACCTGTAAGGCAGAGGCAAGTGGGTCTCTGAGAGTTCCAGGCCAGCCTCGTCTACACAGCCAGGGGTATATAATAAGACTCTGTACCTACAAATAAATAAACAAAATAGTCATAGGGTATTTTGTTGCTCTCCCACTTAAACATACTTGTACTGACCCAAATTTAACAAATTCTTTTAAGAAAGCAAAGAATACTTCTTGTCCTTGTATTTCCCTTAAATAGGTCATTCAGAACAGAATCAGGACACTAAACATCATTTAGAGAAGCTGAGAGGTGGAACAGAAAACACAGAAGTAGATTTGAGGTTTGGAAAGCAGCTTGTCCCCTCCCAAGGGGCTAGGGAGAACCCGGCAACTATTCTTTTAGAACATCACTATTTTCAAAATATATATATATTTAAATTAAAGTGTGAAATCAAAGTGAAAATAGCTAATATATTCTTAACTCTTCACCCAAGTACTAAGTTTCAAAAACAAATAAAAATATTAAGGTGAAAAATTAATGCATTTTCCTATTTTGGTAGGATTTCAGCATAAAAAATTCAAATTTTTCTGCCTAAAATTAAGCAGATATAGAGACATAAGGGAAACTGGGAGTATCTATAATAGCTTCCCCTCCTAAAACAGTGTTACGTACAGTATTTTATCATTTTACTTAGGAAATAGTAGGATATGTCAAACAAAAAGTAATTCTATAAATATTTGCTAAGAATGCACTAATCCTGAAAATGTCTACATTCTTTTTTCCTTTCTAAGGAAAAAAATACATATATTTTTAGCTAATTCAAGTGCCTACACACACAAAAGTTTTTCTTTCAAATAGGTATAAAAACAACAGTACTTCCTGTAGGGTCACACATACATGCAAACAGCATAGGAATCTCTGAGGACACAGAGGTCAGCACTGGAACAACCTCATGTATTTGAATTCTAAACTTGTGCTTGTTCGCTTTCTGCTGCTGTGCTAAACACATGACCAAAAGCAGCTTGCGGAGGACTTCCAGGTAACAGTTCCTCACTGAAAACATCACGGCAGGAGCTGCAGGTAGGAACTGAAGCAGAGACCATGGAGAAAGGCTGTTTACTGCCCCCCTCCTATACCTTTCTTACACCATCGACCACCTGCCCAGAGATGGCACTGCCAGCAGTGGGCAGGGCGACCCACATCAAGCAATCAAGAAAATGCCCCCACAGACATGCCTACAGGCAAAAATGACAGTCATTTTAAATCTCAACTGAGGTTCCCTTTTCCATGATGACCCTTGTGTCAAGATGACAAAAAACCAACCAGCACAAACCTCTTAAAATAGAAAATGTACAAAGAAAAATGATTTCCAGCAAAATACAAAATTGACATATGCAAAATGAATAGCATACAAATTCAAATAACAGTATTTATACGCATCAATTTCTCACATATATAAAAGACAGAAGTATCTTCAAACAAAAGTTATGAGATTACTCTTGTAATGAGAATCTATTAAAAAGGAAGTATCTAAATTCAACTGTAATATCAGCGAGTGATAACCACTGAAGACCATAATGATAAGATGGAGTCATTTTTATTTCTCTGATTTAAGTACTAATATGCTTCCAGTATTCAATTTCTATCTCAGAACCCACATTTCTACTTAGCAGGAACTCAATATGACAATCAAAAGATTTAATTAACCTAGCTGTCAAGACTTTAGTTATTTACATAAACCTCAAAATATCTTTAAATAATTCCCCAAATACTAAGCAATTTAATAATTCATTAAAAATACAAGTCATCTAATCAGACTTAGATATTTACACTGCTTGCTACAGAACTCTTCCTGACCAATCAGTAATTTTAACCAATTTTTCACTTCTGAAATACTAAACTTCACCGTTTCGGTTTTTGAACCATTTATTCTTAGACTTAAAAGGTTCTTAAGAAACATATTTGCTCATAACTTCACAGTTAAGTCTTCTTCCTCTCGTAGACAAGATTTCTCTGTCTCCGTCATTTTACCAAATTACCAAAGATAACACAATGTGGATTGAATTTCAGCACTGAAGACAATGAATGACAATACAGACAGGACTGGCAGAGTGAAAGATTGAAAAGTTTCTCAATTTTAAGAGGTATAACTACTTGGTTAATAAGCAGGATGGGCACATAAGATTACCACTCCTTCCAAGATGCAATTAAACCACCTGATTTTTTTTTTTCTGGCCAAAGAACCAAATTAAGGGTTTAAGACGTGAAATCTAAGTTCAAAGTATGTTATTTTTCAAAGAAAACAAGTTACCAAGAGAAGAAAGCACTTACATTTGGAGCATGACCTGGTTCAAGAATACCCCATCCACCAAAGCCACATATTCATCCAGGTTGGTCCCATTTCCTGCAGCCAGAGGTCCAAACGTTTTAACCTAGAACACAAGGAATATCACGACGTTAACGCCCACCTCCATCTCTGCAGCCACAAATAACACAGCAAAATATACAATAAAGGACATCTCACTTACCCAAGTGACCAAGGGGCTGGTCATGAATTGCTCCAGAAGGGGAGTAAAGATTTCGTTCTCCATTTTACAGATTATATGTTCGGGAGGGGGGAAAAAGGGAAGTACCACAAATACGCCTAGGGAATTGGTCACTAAACGTAGAAGTAGGACGAAATCAATGAAAGTCCATTTCGGCAAGGGTGGAAAATCCCATCGAAGAGGGGGAAGGACTCTCCTTCCTCAAAAGCCCCCAGGGGAAACGAGCCCAAATCCCGCGCAGAGCCGCAGCCGGCGCTGGCAGTGTCTGCACCGGAGAGGAGGGGCAGAAGAAAGGCATCTGGAGGAGGAGGACGCGAAGAGCGGCCAGGGCACGAGACAAAAAGCCCGTCAAGGTTGCCCCGCTCCCTCCCGGAGGGAGCCGGCCAGCGCAGCGGCCGCCGAGGAATCGAGCCCAACGTGGAGGCTGAGGGGCGTCCGGGCTGGACCTGGGCGAGCGGCTCTGGGCGTTCCAGCGGCCGGCGGGCACGGGGCGCCGGGAGCGTCCGCCCGCAGCCCTCGCCTTCTCAGGCGCGGCTCGCCCCGCGCTGGGCGCTCACCATCCCGCCGCGGCCTCGCGCTCGCTTCAGCCCCCTTGGCCTGCCCGGGGCCGGGGGCTCCGACGCGCGCCCCTAACCGTCCGGCTGCGGTGCCTCGGCGACGCCCGGGCGCTGCACCGCCGCCGCCGCGCTCCAGCCTCCTCCGCCGCCCTCTGGAGGAGCCGGGGTAACGGCCTCAGAACCGCAGTGCCGCAGCACACCCGCGCCCGCCGCCGGCCGGCCGGGCGAGCGCGCCGCTCCCTCCACGCCCGTATCCTTCCGCCGACTCCCCGCCCTCCGCGCCGCTGCCTCTGGATTGTGGGAGAAGAAAACCGCTGCATGAGCGCGCCCCCGAGCGCGCGCCCCCGGCCGGCCCCGCCGCCGCCCAGACCCCGGCGGCGTGTGGGCGCGCGCGGGCGCGCGGGCGAGCGGGCGCTGCAGCTGCGGCGGTGGCCCGCGTCGCGCCCGCGCCCCGGACGGCTGCCAGGGCCCAGGGGGCGGGGATGGGCTTAGGCTGAGGAAGGGGTCTGCCAGCTTGTTCGCTCATGCCTAATTATGGTTTATTTCCTCCCGGAGTGCCTTCTTTGATGTGCGAAGGAAGGGGAACGAAGCCCATCTCTTTTCAACACGAGGGATGCAGACATCCTCTTTCGGACACTTTGATTTGCTCTGTTAAACACGCTTTTTCGTCCGCGAAAAGGAATAGCAAAACTGCAGCAAAAAGCAAAGGCACATCTTGGGAGCGCGGAAGAGGGGATCAATTGTGTTTTTCCTTCTTTCCCTAAAAAAGAAAAACAAAACAAAAAAGCCGTCCTCTAATAAACAAGAATAGTCTTGAAAGTTCAAGTGAAATTTAGGCTTTTGAGTAACCAAAGCTGCCTTTCAGCATGGCATTCCCTAACTGGAGCGCCCGTGATTCAGGCATTGTTTTTTGACTGGTTGGTCATCGAAAAATATCCAAAACTAAGAGCCACAAGAGAAAATATTTGTAAGTCATCCAAGTTGTGTGACAGACATTTATCAAAAATCATTTATGTTGTGCTCTAGTGGACCCATCAAAATAAACAGTTCCCCAGCACATTAAATATTATTCTTCCTCATGTCCAAATGTTATTCCTTATCATATCTATATTATACCTAGGATGAAATGGAGTGTCAAACACTTTTTTTCCCAAAACAATATAGTATTGTGATTTTACAATGCATTGTGTATTGTATGGTATTTACATATACTTATCTACTTTGACTACTACTATTTTTTTGATGATGTGTACTTTTTGTATCTCTTATTTTATTTTTGTTGTATGGATGATTTGCCTTGCATGTATATATGTTCACTACATATGTGCCTGGTCCCTCTGAAGGTCAGAAAATGGCACCAGATCCCCTGGAACAGGAGTTACAAATGGCTGTGATCCACTATGTGGGTGCTGGGAATCAAACCCAGGTTTTCTGAAGGAGCAGCTGGTGCTCTTAACTGCTGAGCCATCTCTCTAGCCCTCATATTTTAAGTTAACAGTAAAAAATGTTTTATCATATACAGGATTAAATAGCATAATTCCTTGGAGCCTGACTCCTGGATCTCTGATGGCAAGACTCACAAGCTATGTGAAGCTAGACACAGACTGAACCTTTCTGTGCTTCCCTGTCTTCGTATGGAAAGCAAGAAAAACAGTAAGTTTCAAAGCAATGGCAGTTCACAGCGAATGCTCTATTACTGTGATTGGTGTGGCGTTTTCATCATTGTTCCCCCAAACGTGAAATCTTTACCAAAAGCTTGAAATATCACAGCTTCTACTTGAGTTCAGTTACAGGAAGAAATACTGGGGCTGGAGAGATGGCTCAGCGTTTAAAAGGACCTGGGTTCAATTCCCAGCACCCACATGGTGGCTCACAACTGTCTGTAACTCCAGTCCTGGAGGATCGACACCCTCCTCCCTCCTCTGTGGACACTGCATGTTCATGGTGCACAGTCATACAGGCAGGCAAAACATCCATACACAAAAACAAATAAAACATTTAAAAAAAACCCAGGAAGAAATATCTTGCTTTTGGAGAATCTGGAAGCAAATACCCTTCCAAAATCATCTTAATTCAAATTCGAATGCATCCATGAGGTCCAGAACACAGCCGCGCCTTTCCCTGGCCTAGACACATGTCCTGGGTCATCCTGGTTGCAAGCGATCTTTTCCTTTTGTTCCTGCTGACTCTTTCTTAATCACAGTTCTTTATTTGGCAAGTGAGATGTAGCAGGAGAGCTGCACCAGGATGGAAGCATGGCTTTTAGGAGCACCATTGCCTAACATTTTTACTTCTCTTTGTAATCCCTCAGAAACCTAACGACATGAAAGGGTCCCTTCCTATACCCGGGTTGTTCTAAGACAGGCTAACCTGCTTCACTGAAGAGTGAAAACCCAGGAAGAACTGACAAGTGTTATCAGGCAAAATACATTCTGGACAGTGTTGACTGAGGGGTTAGAACAGGAACATTACGTTAACTTAGCATTGTTATCCAATTTACATTTAGTATCCAACCCATCCTTCACTGAAATCTGGATTCCCCTCTGGAACCAGATGGTCCAGATGCTTCCTGGTCTATCTTTAGGTTACACACACACACACACACACACACACACACACACACACACACACACAGGCACACACACACACATACTTCAGCAAAGAAACATGAGGAGTTAATTGTAAAAACAGGAAACTTTAGACCAGACTGAGGTCTGCAGGAACTTATTTGAAAACCTACCAATTTTCAATTCTTTAGTTTAGTAGCAGCCTTAGAAATGTTTTATAATATCTCAAGAGTGCAATCAGGAAACTTCTCTGTCTGGCAAAAGAGGGATTATGCATTATGCACCATTTAAGTGTCTTTGAATTGCAACATCCTGTAAGATTAAATCCAAAAGTTTTCTATCCTCCTTTCAATTAGAAAGATATTTCTAAAGACTTCTTTAAAGTTCCTTTGTTTTGTATTTTGAAGACATTTTGTATCTATCCCTTCTCAAAATAGTAAATCCAACAGGAAAAGACATTAGGGAAAAAAAAAAAAACTTCCTCTGCTTAGAGTCTAAGTTACTTGACCAGCTCTCTTCAATACGAATGGCTGGAGTGTGCCATTGGAAAGTCATTACAGAAAGTTCCATCCTATGTATTAGAATTGAGTCCCCATCACATTTTACACATCTGTAACACAAGCTATACACCAGGAGCTCTCATACAAACCACAACCAATGTGTATTTTGATCTATACTATAGGAAGTAACAGACTTGCCTCCAACCAACCTCCTTGGAGACAAATATTATAAGTACAAATTTGCAGAAATAATCACATCTATAAACAGTAAAATGGCACCATTATTTAACACCACAGAGTAGAAATATCTGAAATGTCCATATGAATGAAACACAAATCTTTTGGTAAATAAGCAACATGAAGTAGTGGGAGGTGTAATATCATGGATGAACCTGGAAAGTATTGCGCTCAGCAAAAAATCAGTTACAAAGGACAACATATTGCATGATTCCATTTATGTAAATATTCATAGTAGAGACAGCACTATAGAGACATAAAGAAGGTTAGTGGCTGCCCAGGGCTGGAAAAGGGGTGTTTGGGGAGGGGAGGTACAGGGATATTTTCTTCTGAGAAAATGAAAATATCAGGAAATTGATTTTAGTAATAGACATGTAACTCTGTAAATATGTTTAAAAGTCACTGGATTGTAGACCTGAAATGGATGAATTATGTAGGATATAAATTATATCTCAATAAGGTTTTCTAAAACAAAATAGTATTATTGCCTCATGAAAAGAATGTATATAAACACCGGCACATGCATTCTCCAGTTGGTCATATGTCTGTAGTCTGCTATCTGAGCAGTTAAGGCAGCAAGATCACTTGAGTACAGGAGTGAGTTTGTGACCACCTTGGGCAGCATATTATGACCTGTAAAAGAAAGAGAGTGAGAAAGTAAGAGAGAAATAGATAGATAGATAGATAGATAGATAGATAGATAGATAGATAGATAGATAGATAGATAGAGGGAAGACAGGAGAGGGAAGGACAGGGAAAGGAAGAGGAGAAATCTGATCTCTCGTAGACTTTTCCAAGAGCCCCGTGATGGAAGAAATAAGTTTTCAGGCTCAACTAATAACACATGTACGATATGGTCTTGACAATATGGTTTCACAGTTTTGAAAGAGAAAGATCAGAATTAGCCACATTGTCTAACTTCTTTGGTTATCAGTTCCCTCAATTGTAAAACGGGCATACTGTTTTCATAATGTGCTGCGCATCTGAACTTACTGCTACAAGAAATGACAGAAAAGAAAAGAGGGGTCCTTTTATCAATCCAGTATCAGCTGTTCTTTCCAAATGCCCTAATTCTGTGTTCCAAAGTAAACAGTCTCAAATTCAATACAACATTCCAAGCACCTGTGCCGCTACTCATGCTCTAGACTGCCTGTTAGCTAGAAACTCTTCATCCTCTGAGAGTCAAATTCTACCTCTCCCTGACAGGTGACATCACCTCTTTACTACAGGCAAATGGAGCACTCACCTTTTGTGGCTACATAGTAAGTAATCCCCACTTTATTTCTGTAAAGTCTGAGTGGAATGTGCTTGGCACGTGAGTGGCACATGCTCTTCTCTACGTGACTCTGCTTTGCTTGTCTTTGCACTCTGAAATCCAGAGTCACACTTTTCAGTGATAGGCACCTCCATTAGTAGATCAAAGTATCTTCTCTCAATCAGGATGACAGGTTTAAATTCCCAGTAATTAGCCCAAGGCCAGAAGATCATGGAATCAATGCCAGCCTGCTCTACATAGCAAGCCCCAGACCATCCTGGGTTATATAGCAAAACCTTGTCTGAAAGAAAGGAAGAAAGAAAGAGAGAGAGAGAGAGAGAGAGAGAGAGAGAGAGAGAGAGAGAGAGGGAGGGAGGGAGGGAGGGAGGGAGGGAGGGAGGGAGGGAGGGAGGGAGGGAGGAAGGAAAAGAAAAGAAAAAAGAAAAAACA